AAAAAAAAAAAAGAAAGGAGGGCACCGTCTGCGCAAGGTGAGGAGTGATTCATCACAAACCCCACCTCCTTTATCATCACCAATACTAAACTCTTCCCAAGAAAGTATTACACAATTAAATATTTCATCTTCATCCTCCTCCTCATCCTCATCTTCATTTTCACCTTCATCACCACCATCATCACCAAGAAAATCAAATGCAAAGGATTCACTTCCATCACCTCCTTCATCTCCATCATCACGTATAGGCAGAGAAGAGCTTATTTCCTCGAGTAACAGTATTTGCACTAATAATATTAATAAAAATGCCATTAATAATAATAGTACTATTAGTAATGTTACTATTAGTAATAATAACATAAATGGAATTAAAATACACAATAATATCAATAGCAATCATAATAACAATAATAATAATGGTAATAATAATAGTAATAATAATAGTAGTAATAATAATAGTAATAATAATATAAATAGCAATATGAATAATAACAAATATATTGGTAATAGCCAAAATATTAATAATATGATAACTCCATTTCAATCAATGAACATACCATTCCAACCAATGAATATGCCATTCCCACCAATGAACATCCCTCCACAACTATTTAACCCCCAAATTCTTAATAATTTAAATGCCCAAGAAAAACAAAATGTATTATTAGCTTTAGAACAATCGTTTAAAATGGGTAATTTTTTTATGAATAATAATAATAATAATAACAATAATAATAATAGCAATAATAATAATAATAATAATAACAATAATAATAATAATAATAATAATAATAATAATAATAATAATAATAATAATAATAATAATAATAATAATAATAATAATAATAATAATAATAATAATGGTAATAATAATACAAATAATAGTAATGGTTTTAATAATAATAGTAATAATATAAATAGTATGAATAAAAATAATATTAATAATTGTGGTGGCTTTAATGGCTTTTCTTTCCAGCAGCAGCAGCAGCAGCAGCAACATCAACAAACTCAATTACAAATGCAACAACAATCTCAATTTCAATTCCAATTTCAACAGCATCAACATTATCACCAATTTCATCAATACCAACAATCACTAAATGGTGGCTCTATAAATTTTAATAATATGAACCCAAATATACAAATGGGTAATAATTTTGATAGGAATAACAATAATTTTCATTTTAATAACAATATGAATCATAGTATTAATGGTATGGGAAATTTTAATCAAAATATTAATCAGAGTAATAATGGGGGATATATTAACAATAATAATACAAATTTTAATAGTATTAATAATGGTAGTAACAACAACAGCAACAACAACAAAAACAACAATAACAACAACAACAATAACAATAACAATAACAATAATAATAACAATAATACCAATAATACCAATAATATAATGAATAATAGTATAAATAATAATATTAATAAAACAAATAATAAACCTACAAACAATAACTGTCCAAATTCTCCTTTAAATGAAAAAGAACAAAATAATAATATTATTATGAATTCATTAAATCGAATTGTCACAGATAATAACAATGATAGTATTACAGATAGCAGAGTCAGTATTAAAATAAACCCAGAACTTTTTAGCTACATCAATAGAATGGATAAAAACAATAATTTACATAGCGGCTATAATAATTATAATATTAATAATAATAGAATTAGTGAAATCTATAATTATAAAATCAATGATAAAGAGCTAAGATCCAGAATTTCTCTTCACTTTCAACATTTTGAAATTTTAGATATTGTGGAATATGGTTCTTCTAAAGCGGTACACGTAAAACAAGAAAACAAATATTTCATAATAAAAGTATTAAGAAAAGTGAACCAAGATGATTTTGTAAGTAATTCATATACATACACATATAAAAATATAAATCTAAATTACAGTTATTAATTTTTTTTTAAAAAGTCACATTATGTCAGAATTTTAGTAAATATTAGTTCTCATCAATTTTTGGAAAAATATATTAAAAAAATTGAAGATGGAGAGCATTATTATATTCTTTTTGATTACTTCCCAGAATCAGAGTCATTATCAACTATTTTAAAGAAACGTAAACCATTATCTGACCAAATCATTTGTTCAATTGCTTTTTCAATTTTATCACTTATGCAATATCTTCGTAAGAAAAATATGGTCATTAAAGAAATAAAAGCAGATAATATTTTGGTTAATAAAGACCACAAAGTTAAAGTTATAGATATGATATTTTCAAAAAACATTATCGAATTAGACCGTAATTCAACAATTTTAAATATCGATATGCAAAAACTAGGTTATCTTACAAGTATAATGGCTGGTGGTCAACCAAACATCATTGATGTACCATTGGATAGATCAAAATCATTAAGAGAATTTGTTCAAGAATGCTACTCATTTGGTAAACTAGATTATAAACCCTACATAGGTTCAATATCAGAACACAGTTTTTTAGTAAGTAAAATATATTGTGTTAATACTACTACATTTATATTAATAATTATTTTTATTTTATTTTTAGAAAAGAGAAAGAGATATAACAAAAGATTTAAACACCTTGATCGTAACAACTCAAGGTAAATTAGATTTTAGACATTTCCCACCCAATATTGAAAGAGTTATCTTTGTTGAACATTTAGAAGTTCAAATTCCAACTGGTTGCCTACCTCATACCCTACTTGATATCCAACTCGGTGATGATTTTAACCAACCTATTCCGCCTGGAGTTATTCCACCATCAGTAAAAAAACTTTGTTTTGGCTACGCTTTCGACCAACCTTTAGTTCCACAGTCTATACCAGATTCTGTAACCCACCTCTCATTTGGCTATAGTTTTAACCAAAATATATCATTTTCTTGCCTACCCAGCTCAATATCTACTCTAATTTTCGGTGGTAAATTCTGTACTGGTGATAAAGTTAACAAAGTTATCATCCCAGAATCAGTAACGTACATAGAATTCCAGAAGTCTTTAGAGCCTGAAATAGAGTCTTTTTTACAACCTGACATCATTAATACATTACCGCCATTCATTCAAACACTTATTTGCCATCGTTCATTTAGCTCGCCACTTGGTGTTAGTCACATTCCTACATCTGTAACTTACCTTGAGCTCTACAATTATAACCATACTCTAACTAAACGGTGTATTCCAAACAGTGTCAAAAATTTGAAGTTATTTAATTATTCCAACAAATTTACAAGTGAAAGTTTCCCAGCTTCATTTGGTCAAAGAGATCAAATTGTAAAAACCCTTAACGAACATAATAACCTATTATCAATTAATATCAAAATCAAACCAGAAAAAATTAAATTAAATTTACTTTCTTTACAAGACAAACAAATTCAGTCATTTACTTCAAATATATTAAAGAATAAGAGAAATAGTAAAAATATTAATACTGATGGAAATAATGGAAATACATATAATAGCAATAATAATAATAACAATAACAATAATAATAATAACAATAACAATAATAACAATAATAACAATAATAAAAATAATAGTGATGATAAATAATATAACAATTTTAATTAATTGTGTTAGCTCTAAATAATAAAAATATATAAAATATATATAAATACCAATAGAATAAATTAAAATATATTAATACTTGTTATAATATAAATTAATTAACCAAATAAAATTAAATAAAATAAAAGAGTTTTGAATACAATTTTTTCTAAAACCCAATATTAAAAAAAAAAAACTTTCCTGGCAAATAAAGAGTTTTTTAATCCAAATTTGTAGTTTAAAAAAAAGGTTTTTGGTTTTCAGGTCTTTGTTTTATTATTTCTGGAAACCTAAGAGATTTTAATCTAAAAAAATTGGGTCAAAATTTTTTATTTCTAAATTTTTATTTTATTTATTTTTTTTATTTATTTTCTATTTCTCTTTAATGATTTTTCTTTATTGTTCTTGTCCTTATTATTATTACTATCTTTGCTGTTTTTGTTTTTATTTAAATAAGTTTCTGTATCGAAAAATTTATATTGTTGATTAATTTCTATTTCACGTTTAACAAATGTTAAAGCTGAACGATTGAAACCTAGTCTATTTCTTTCATTTTGTAAACGTTCTTTAATTTTTGTATTTAATTTTTGAAGTATTGGAATAAATTCTGATGAAACTGAAAGTTGATTTTGGTGAGTTTGAATTAAAAAGAAAGAGCATTTGAAAATGTATTCAACATTTTTACCTTGTTGATCGACCCATTCATTAAAATGTTCGAATAAGGGTCTCATAACTGAAAATGGTAATACTCTTAATGCTTCTTCTAAATCTGATGGTCTAACTCTATTCATCCTATTCCAAAGATAGTCTGATGGTGATAATCCTAATAACATAATATTTGGTGAATATGGTAAAATACTATCTAATGATTCTCCTGTTTTTTTTAATTCTTCAACCTCCTATAATGATACAATAAACAATTAGTAAATGAATATTATTATTATTATTATTTAAATTATATTAATTACTCTTTCGTATTCTTGTTTTTTAAAATTTTCTAATACAACTAATTCAATAGCATCTAAAATTTCTTCACCAGCCATAATGGTTTCGAGTGATTGTTTACCTGCAGCAGCATTTTCTTCTAACATTTCTTTTGTACGCATACGAGTATCATCTTCTAATGTAGCCTCCCAATTTTGTTCCATTTCTCTTTGACGATCAGATTCAACGAAAATTGGAGTTTCAGTTTGAGTGAAAACTCTCATTGAACGATCGTGACTACCAGTTACAAAAAAGTCACCAACGGAACCCATAGCAATTGACCAAACTTCACCATGATGAGTATCGATAGTTTGAATATGTTCGAATTTATCACCATCCCAATATTTAATACGCTTATCTTTACTAGTTGAAATGAAGTGATGAGTATTTGGAATGAATGCTAATTGCATAATTGAATCATCATGAGCAAAGAATGATTTATGACAATCACCATAATCTAAACCCCAAATCTTGATATTTTTATCTGCTGAACCTGTAATTATAAGTGTTGAGTCATCACTAATATCTAAACACATAACTGGAAGTTTGTGACCGTATAATGAAAGGTGGAATTTTAATGTATCGCTATAAAAGATTTTGACGGTGTTATCGAGTAATGAAACTGCTAATAATTTGTTATTTTTGGAATATTTAACGGCAAGAACATCTGATTCTAATTTGAGTGTTTGGGAATGGGAAAGATTGAGGTCTTTTTGTTTTGGATTTTCTGGGTTAGTAATTAATTCAAAGTCCCAGAATTTAACTTGTTTATCTGCACCACCAGATACAATACCACGAAGATCTGGTGTTAAGGCAATTGACCAAACTGAGCCTTCATGGGCTTTAATTGAAGCTACTTTGTTTGCTGAAGCAAGTTCGAAAACTTCTATTGAGCCAGTCTTAGTACCGACAATAATATGAAGATTACCTGGAGCAAATACTGTACAAAGACCATAATCACAAGGTATTGAACGAATACATAATAAAGATTTCATATTCCAAACTTTAACAGATTCTGAGGAAGTTGAGGCAATCATTGAATCATTTGAACTGAGAGTTAAAGAACGAACATCTGATCTGTGACCTGCTTGATCTAATGTACTTGTGACTTCAAAACCATCTTCTTTAATTTCATAGGCTTCTAATGAATTACCAGCTAAAGTGATAACAAATTTATTCCAAGTTTTAACGTCGTTACCAAATGAAAAGAATCTAACCTTTGATGATGTTTTGATTGTTTGACGATGTCTAAATTCGTCGGTAACACTAATTTCGTCCATTTTTATAATATCGTAGTGTGTAATTTTAAATAAATCGACAAACTTTCCAGTTGATTGGACTGCAAGAATTTTATTGGTTGGATCGAAACGAACACCAGATACTGACTCTGCTTTAACTGTAATTGAGCCATAATATTTAGCAAACTCTTCTTCGCTAACAATTTCAAGGTCTAAATCTGCTGGATTAACTTTCTTTGTACCATCTTCATTAAACTCATCTGGGATTGAAACTGCTGAATTGATTGGAATATTTACATTGAATTTTGGTTGCTTTTCACCATCTGCTCTTGCTTTTTCATTTGATGCTATACGCCATATACGAATTTGATTATCGGAGGTACATGATACTAAACGAGTTTCATCTGGGTTAACGTCAATGTTCCAAATTGGATTACGATGACCAACAATAGTTTGAATACAATGTTGAGTTTCAGTATCCCAAATTTTTATAAAACCATCTTTTGAACTTGTTATTAAATGATTTGAACGCTCTAAAATACGTACTGCTGTAATCATATCACGATGACCACGTAAACGGAATAAACCACTCTCTGTAATGACGTCCCATACAATAATTTCTGTATCTTTGCTACCTGAAACTAAAATATTACCCAATGTGTTGAATGTTAAACAAGAGATTGAACCTCTGTGTCCATTAAAAACTGATTGTAATGAATAGTCATTCATTGAGAAAATTCTAATAGAACCATCACTATAACCTGTTGCTAATAAAGTTCCATCTTTACTCAATGAAACAATGGATATCTCTGATTTAACATCTTCTTCAAAAATTGATTTAACCAATGTTTGTTTACGTAAGTCCCATACACTAATTCTTTCACCACAACCTGTAATTGCTAATTTACCACTACGATCCAATACAGAGTTACTTGTTGAAATTAAACCGAATACTCTATCTTGATCAAATTTTAAATATGCTTTAACCATTATTTATATATATTTTATTTATTAATTTTATTTATTAATTTTACTATATAATATTATTATTATTCTAAAGGTTTAAATATATATAAATAAAAAGAATATAAATAAAAGTTTAAATTTATTTAAAAAATAAGTAATGAAAAAAAAAAAAAAAAAAAAAAAAACGAAAAAAAAAAATTTTGATTTTTTTTATTTAAATTTTATTTTTATTTTTATTTTTTTTTCATTTTATTTATTTAAATTATCATTTTATATATTTAGTAAAAGAAATTGTGTGTTTTTTTTTTTTTTAAAAATTATCTTATATAATTGATTTTATTTATGTAAAAATTAATAAATAAATATTAAAATTATTTGATTAAAACAATTGTTTTTGATTTCTTTTTTTTTTTTTTGATCAACCCAAATGACCAATAAACCCGATAATACTATTAATTATACTTTCTTCCAAATTATTATTAGCCCTTTCATTTACAACATTACCATTTCCCCCTTTATTTTCAAGGTCTCCTTGGTTGGCATTCTAAAATAAATTAATAATTAGTAAATAAAAATATAAATAAAAATGATTAATGAAATAATTAAAGAGAAAAATAAATAGAATTTAATTTACGATTAATAAAATAATTAAAGAGAAAAATAAAGCTTTTTATAAATATTTAAACCTTTTGTATTTTTTTAAAATAATAATAATAATAATTTTAAAAAAAATAAAAGATTTTTTTTTTTTTAAAAAAGAAAAAAATAAATAATAATAAATAATAAATAATAAAATATTGAAAATATATTAAAATAATGGAACTATCAAATATATACCCCTTTTGAAAAAAAAAAAAAAAAAAAAAAAAAAAAAAAATAAAAAATTAAATAGTTGGAATTACTCTTTAAAGAGTTTGTTTTATTTATATAAATAAAAATAAATAAATATTTGTATTTATTATAATTTAATTTTATTAATTTTATTTATAAAATTCTATAGGACTATATAAATTAAAAATTTTCTATCGGGTTTCGATATGGGTCCATTTTACAACCATTCTACTTTCCACCATTTCCACCAACTAGACTTGATTGAACATTTTAAAATCTGGCCAAATTCTTTTGAAATACAAAAAATCCATATTCTCTATAGTTATCGACCTTTAAAAAAATTTTACTTTATCTCTTAATAGACCATCTCTATCTCTCAACAAAAAATTAAAATTCCCATATATTTATATGGATAAACCCATGTAAAACATATATACAATAAATGTAAAACTAAAGCCATTACAATTAATTTCAAATTCTAGGGTATAAAAGTTTACTTTAAACAAATAAAATAAAATAAAATAAAATAAATAAAATAAATAAAATAAATAAATAAAATAAAAAAAACCCTTTTATATTATTATGTGCCACATGTGGGTTTAAATTAGTGCTGTATACTATTTCTCTTTTTTAAAAAAATAAAAGACAATGATGTATTTACAATACCTTTTAAAAAAACAAATAATTTATAAATATAAAGTGTAATAAAGAAATATATCTTTGAAATTTTATCTTTTAATACAAATATTCTATTTTTATTTTATTTTTTTTTAATTTTTATTGCTTTACAAAGTTTATTCTAAATAAGACATCTCCATCTACTTTATTTGTTTAGGGTGATTTAATGGCCATTATAAATACAACCAGATCCACCTGCATCTTTTTTATAATTGTGCACTTTGATATAATGATTATTTAAACAATCACCAAAACCATTTGATTTAACTTTTCTACTATATTATTTGAATATTCTAAAAAGCCCCCTTCTTTTAAGGTTTTAGAGTTATAAAGGACATCTTCATTTTTCGAAAAATATAAACCATATTCTGCAGAGTTCTATATTTAAAAAAAGGTTAGTTAACTAAACTGAATGTTTCTTTATTAAAATATATTATACCCACTATTGGGGAAAAACAAAATACCAATATTAATAATACTAATGATATCAATTTCATCTCTTTATAATTTTAAACAAATTATTTATATCTCTTTTTATTTTTAACACTAAATAAAAAAAATAAAAATTTTTAATAAATAAAAAAATAAAATTTTAAATAAATAAAAATTGTGTGGATTAAAAATAAACCACTTTTTCAAAAAATAACAAATATAAATTAAAACTTTAACTTTAAGTTAACTACCTAATAAAGATAAAAATAAAGTATATTTATTTAATGATTGAAAATATTTATTTTTTAAATTTTTACTTTAATTTTTTTTTTTTTTTAATCTTAGAACTCCATTATAATTATAATGAGAGAATGGTTTTACCGAAACCTATATGAAGACCAGCGATATTGATTTCAGCATTTTGATCTGCTTCATCCTCAGCATTTTCAACTTGTTCATTTTGGGCATTTTCTGTGTTTTCGGCCTTTTCAGCATTATCCATATTGTTGGCTTTTTCTTCGGCTTGTTGACTCTTTTGGTTATTAAAATCTTGGTCGAAATTAGCCTTACCAAGAAGGAACGAGCCAGATAATTGGATGCCTAATTCACCATTTCCACCTTCTTGACCTTTTTTATTATTTTCAACATTATTCATTTTTTGTCTATTATTATTATTTGATGGTCTTGCACTAAATGCACTGCTTTGCTTGGACTTGTTTACTGAGTTTTGTTTAGCTGGACTAGCATTTTGATTTTGTTGAGCCTGTTGATTTTGTTGAATTTGTTGTGATGGTTTTGCATTTTGACTTTGTTGAATTTGTTCAGATGGTTTAGAGTTTTGATTTTGTTGCATTTTATCGGATGATGGTTTAACTTTTTGGTTTTGTTGGTTTTGTTGGTTTTGTTGCATTTGTTCTGATGGTTTGGCGTTTTGATTTTGTTGCATTTGCTCTGATGGTTTTGCATTTTGAACTTGTTGCATTTGCTCGGATTGTTTAACATTTTGAATTTGTTCAGATGGTTTTGCATTTTGAACTTGTTGCATTTGCTCTGATGGTTTGGCATTTTGGTTTTGTTTCATTTGCTCTGATGGTTTGGCATCTTGAACTTGTTGGT